CTAAAAATAAAATATATGGGTTTATAATTTTTTAAATTAAGGATTATTGTGGTATAATTTACGTACAGTAAAATTCAACTTTTTTAGGTGCTCCTCTGCAGTCAATTCCCCCCCGTAACCCCCAACCCCTGGCAACCACTGATCTGATTTCTCTCCTTATAATTTTGCCTTTTCTAGAATTTCATATCAACAGAATCATAAATTATGTAGTCTTTTGTGCCTGGCATCTTTCATTTCACATGGTGCTTGGAAGATTCAACCATGTTGTTGCATGTATCAATAGTTTGTTCCTTTATATTGCTAGTAGTATTCCATTGCACGATGTACCAAAATGTCCATTCACCAGTTGATGGATTTCTGGGTTATTTTCAACCTTGGGTGATTATGAATAAAGCTGTTATAAGCATTTAAATAAGTAAGGGTCATTTTTCGTAAATGGATGGCCAAGTGTTCCAGTACCATTTTTTTGAAATGACTATCCCTTCTCCATTGAATTATCTTGGTATCGTTCCTAAAAATCAATTAACTTTATATCTGTCGGTCTGTTTCTGAACCTGTATTGTCTTCCACTGACCTAGGTCTCTCCTTACACCAAGGCTACACTGTCTTGATTACTGTAGTTTTATAGTAAATCTTGAAGTAAATTAAGCCTTCTAAATTTTTCTTTTCCAAAGTCATTTTGGCTATTCTAGATCCTGTGCTTTTCAACATAAAAGTTAAAATCAGCCTGTCAATTTCTACAAAAAACTCTGTTGGGATGTTGATTGAAATGGCATTGATTCTATAGATCACTTTGGGGAGAACTTACATCTTAACAATATTAAGTCTTCTGATCAATGAAACTTGGTAGCTCTCCATTTATTTAGGTCTTCTTTAATTTCTTTCATCAATGTTTTGCATTTTTATTGTCAAAATCTAGAACATTTTGCTAGATTTATCCCGAGATATTTCGAGTTTGTGGATACTATTATGTGATGTATTTTACTTCAATTTCAATTGTTCATCGTTACCATACAGAAATACAATTGGTTTTAATACAGAGACCTGGTATTCTATGACTTTTTAAAGTTTAGTAGTTTACTAGTTCTAATACCTTTTTGATTCTTTGAGATTTTCTATGTAGACACTATATCATATAAAATACAGACAGTTTTAACTTCTTCCTTTCCAAATTGAATGTCTTTTATTTCTTTCTCTTGCCTTACTAAACTGACCAGGACTTCCAGTACAATATTGATCAGAAGTGGTAAGATTGGACATCCTGGACTTGCTCCCAATCTTAAGTGGAAAACGTTCAGTCTTTCACCATTAAATAGGAGATGTTTCTTGTAGGTTTTTCATAGACGCCATTTAAACAGGTGGAGGGACTTTTCTTCTGGTTTGCTGAGAATTTTTATCACTAATGGGTGTTTAATTTTGTCCAATATTTTTTCTACATCTATTGGGATGATATGTTTTTTCTTTTTGATTCCGTTAATATTGTTGATTACAATGATTGATTTCAAATGTTACACCAACTCTGCATTCTTGGAATGAGTCCCACTTGATTACAGTATATATCTTTTTAATCTACTGCTGGGTTTAATTCACTAAAGTATTGTTAAGAATTTTCATGTCTCTGTTCATGGGGGATATCGGTCTGTAGTTTTACTTTCCTGTAATGTTTTGCTCGGGTTTTGGAGTGTCCATAGAATATTTTCTCATCTTTTTACTTTTAACTTACCTGTGTGTTTGAATTTAAAGTCAGTTTCCTGAGGGGAGTATTTAGTTGGGTCTTGCTTTTCTATCCACTCTTACAATCTCTGCCTTTTAATTGTTTACATGATTTATTATTAATATGGTTATTGATATGGTTGAATTTAAATCTCTCATCTTGTTCCCTTTTTCTTCTTTTCCTGCCTTCTTTTGTATTATTTTTTATGATCCCATTTTATCTCTATAACTAGCTTTTTAATTACGCCTCTTTTATTTTCTAGTGGTTGTTTTAGAGTTTACATATGTAACTTATCATAGTCAATCTTCAAATAATATTATACCCTTTCATGTAGAGTCTAAGGCTATCACAGTTGATCTAGGAAGTGGCATTGTTGTTATCTTTACCCTCCGCGCACCACAGACTCCAAATTCTTTCACTGTCGAGCTGCCACCCCCTGTGCCTGGTGTGGGGTTGTACTGCCGAGCTGGAAGATGCTTCTCGGTGTTGCTGCTCTGCTTTAGCAGTCACTGCACACCTGCACTGCACAGGGGGTCTCTTTCACACTCTGGCACCTCTCCCAGCTGCAGACTGCTGTTGCTTGTTATTCAGAGGCTTACTTGGGGGCCGGGTTGGTTCTTGGTCCCCTGGTCTTAGGCAGGGTCTGAGTGCCCACTCTTGGAGGAGATGGTCTGAAGAGTTGTGAGCCTTTCTGTCCCTCCCACCTGTGGCAGCTGAACCCTGCCAGGTATCCGTGGTGGTTCTCGGACAGGAAGGGTTTTTCTGTCCCTTTCCCAATGGTACAGACCTCTGCTTTGTGTTGGTTCAGGATCCTGGACCCAAGGGCGTTTATGGCTCTTTCCTTGGTGGAAGATGGTTTTGCTTCTACCCTTCTCCTGGAAGCAGCACTTTCTGCCTGGCTCCTGTGGGAGGGAAGGAAGATTCTCTAACCTCCTCCTGAAGCAGAAAGGCGTCTTTGCCTCTACCCTTCCCCCAGAGGCCCTGGGGATGAGAGCACTATTGTCCTGTCCCCAGGGATTTAAGGTTTCTGCCACAGATGAGAACTGTGTCTGGAGAAGCAGCAGGCTTTCGTGTCTGTTCCCCAGCAGCAGTCACCTCTCAGGCCTGCATGAGAGATCGGGGGGGAAGGTCTCTCCAGTCTTCTGTCCTGACCAACTTCTCTTCTGAGTACCTGGTGGAGATCCACGGAGAAGGGTTTGCAAGTGAGAACTCCCCTTGTGCTTGGAGCTCCTGGTTATTCTAGACTGATATGCTAGCCCATGCTTGGACTGCAGGCAGTTCAAAAAATTTTTGTTATTTCTTCTGATTTGCTTCACCGGCAGCCACCTCTTCCTCTCACGCTCTGTCAAAGGTGAACAGTTTGTGTGCCTCATCTCTCCTGGGAGGGGCTTGTCATACTTCGGGATTAAGTTCTACTGATTTCCTGGTAAACTCAGCTCTCTGATAGATTTCGAAAGTTATGATCTTTGTGGGCTATCTGGATTTTTCTTGTTAGGACGGGAGTGACACGCTCTTACAGCTTTCTACATCCTAAGTGGAAAAAGAACTTAGGCTTATATTTTCTGTCTTTGCTTTTTTATTTCCTTTTTTAAAATAATTCTTATTATATATTTTACAAAAATATTGCTCTGTGACGGATCGGAAAAAACAATAAAACTGGTCCTTCACCACAAACAGTGTGGAAAGCACTGTTCCAGTGCACAAAGTAGGTATGGTTATGACAAGACTGTCCAACCTCCGGATGCCATAAGTGAACTGTTTAGCTACACAAACATTTCTTTTGAAACTGATGACATACCTGCAGATAGCACAAAAGGTTCATACTAACTCCCACTTAGCAGAGGGTAAGGCAATAGGGGTGGTTAAAATATTTTCACTCCTAACGATGTATTAGTAGCCCATCATCTAGCACTGCTAATTTTCTTCCTTTATAAGATAAGATTCATAGCATTTATCCCAAGTTTCTCTGATCTAAGGATTAATTATCTAGGAATCTTTCAAAATGTCCCATATTTCCTCTGTAAAAGGCATATCAAAATAAACCATATCACTATAAGATTCTACCAACCAGGAAAGATTCTACCAACCAGGAAAGGTGCTAATTAAATGGAGACATAATGAGACGAGAAAGTAGCCTTGAAGACACTTAGTAAAGTATATCTCTCATTTCCCCTGATAAACAGTTCAGAAGCAATACAGAAGCAATAATTATTTTAAAGTATGTTCTCTCATAACATGTCCATTAAGGACTCACCACTCTGCTGCTCTTTTGTCTATCTTTCCCAACAAAATAGCGAACACATAAGGACAGTGTTGTATTCATCTCTGTACCTCTCAGTGTCTAGCACAGTGCCTGGCATATAGCAGCTCCAAATGAATACATATGGAGTGAAATGAACAGACTGGATAATGGTTCTGCCTAATTTTTTCTTGTATCTTTTTCCTCTGGGCTATATCCTGCTCTTACCTGCCTCCGTCTTCCTTTTTGGTGAGTGTATATAAATAGATCTCATAGAATCTATAGACACCAGTGTCTGTCTGGCTCCCAAGCACCCACTACTGTTTGAAGACTCTGCTAGCAGCCCTATCTGCCTGATAAGCTGGCCTCACACCTGTAACAGAAGCATTAGGGCTGAGATAGTTCTAGCTCTGTCCTTTGTTTGGATGACCTGGCCTGCATGATGGTCAGCCTTTGTAGCCAGATAAGCTTCCCATAACCACCTCAGGGCCTGGGTATATGGATTTCTACCTGAACCTGCCTCTTTTTCCTCTTCATTGGTCATGTGTACAGGGACTCATACACCTCAACCCCTGAGCCTCCTTGAGTCACAACAGGTACTTCATCTTATGCTAACATATATTATTATTTAGTTTTTCATATGCTGTGATCAACCTTCCATTAGGATATATAGGGAGAATGCCACTGAAAGCAGAAATAATGTTTTTTTCTTTTTTGAGTCTAACAAAATTCCTAACATAGTAATATGCCCAGAGTAGACGCACAATTACTGATTGAGAGAATGAGCTGAATCCTATATTGAAAGCTCTTCATAAGTCCCCTCCATGAATTAAGTCAACTAACATTTATACTTGAGTTTTCCCAACAACTCATTTTTACTTCCTCACACACCTCCATGGGAAAACTAATGTGTGTCTTAAAGGGTAATAACTTAATACCTAAGAGGACCAAACATACTTAGCAGTTCAATAAGGTTCACATCTTTCCATAATCATACACTAACTAATCTTACTATTCTCATAGATTTTGAAGAAAAGAAACTCTTACCCAGCCTTAGCAACACTTATGGTTTGTTGCTCCATTGCTTCATGGATACTGGTTCTGTCATGCTCTTTGAGGCTATTAAACTCATCGATACAGCAGAGGCCTGCATCTGCAAGGACTAAGGCCCCAGCCTCCAAATTCCATTCTCCTGAGTCTTTTACAGCAGTCACCGTCAGACCTAAGGGAACAAGCGAGCCATGTCAGCTTTTCTTTTCAAAAGCATTTCTTATATCTATGAAGGGAAATAAATACCTACATTTTAAAGGGAAGGGCATAGAGTCAAGGGCTTTATTTCTAGTCTACCAAGAACAGATAGCATCAGGACAACTATCCAGTCACTGGAAGGTCTCAGAAGACCCTATGTTCTGAAAATCTAATATGTGTTATTGAGTATTTTGTGGCAAAACAGAATTTCCCAAATTTTCTGTCTCTCCTTGGCAGGTCATCCTCACTGAGTGGTCTAAACTTTGAGAGGGAGCAAACAGCTCTCCAGAGATCTTATGACAAGTGGTTCTGTACTATACCCTGTTTACAGAGAAGGGGCCAAGAGAAAATTGATATTACAATCCAGTGATGAAAATGAAAAATTTGCTCCCAGTCACAGTGTGAGGGAGAGGATTCCCTTCATATTTCTTCTCTGATTTTTTTTTTTAATAATTTTATTTATTTATTCTTCCCCCAAAGCCCCAGTACATAGTTGTATGCCATAGTTGCACATCCTTCTAGTTGCTGTTTGTGGGACGCGGCCTCAGCATGGCCGGAGAAGCGGTTCGTCGGTGCGCACCCGGGATCTGAACTTGGGCCACCAGCATCGGAGTGCGAGCACTTAACCGCTAAGCCACGGGGCCAGCCCTCTTTTCTGATTTTTATTCATCCTTTATACCAGTGAATAAAGCAGTGTGGTCAAAAGCAAAGGCTCTGAAGTCACCTAGACTTGTATTTGAATCCTGGATCTGTCATTCTGGCTGCCATATTGTAGGCAAGTTTCCTAATATACCCAGGCCTCAGTTTATTCATCTGTAAAAGGGGATAACAATAGAAAATATTTCACAGATTCTTGATATTCAAATAGAATATAAATGAAGCTCTTTAAAAGGTATATGATACATAATGAGTACTTATAATAACTATTGTTGATAAAAATTGATAAACCTCTGGCTAGACTGATCAAGGTAAAATATGAGGAGACACAAGTTACCAATATCAGAAATGAAAGAGGGAACACCACTATAGACCCCATAGACACTGAACCAATATTAAGGAAATACAATGAAAAACTCTATGTGCTAAGTTTGATAACTCAGATGAAATGGTCAAATTCTTTGAAATATATAAACTACCAAAGTTTATCTAAAAAGGAATAGATAACCTGCACAATCCTATATCTACTTTGAAAACTGACTATGTAGTTAAAAACCTTGCAACACAGAAATCTACAGGTTGGGATGACTTCATGGTGAATTCTACCATATATTTATAGAAGAAATAATACCAATTCTATACTAAATTTTCAAAAATACAGAAAAACAAGGAACACTTCCCAACTCATTTAGTGAAGCCAGCATTATGATACCAAAAAACAGATAAAGATATATTAAAAGAAAACCACAGATCAGTATCCCTCATACACATAGACGCAAAAATCCTCGAAAAATAAAAGCAAATCAAACAATACATAAAATGCTAACAGATCATAACTAAGTAGGGTTTAATTAGGAATACAAGGCTAACTGAACATTCAAAACTTAATTAATGCAATTCACCATATCAACAAACTAAGGAAGAAAAAGCAAATGACCACCTCGATAGATACAGAAAAAACATTTGAAGAAACTCAACAATCATTCCTGATTAAAAAAAAAACTCAGAAAATTAGGAATAGAGGGAACTTCTTCTATCTGATAAAGGGTATTTACAAAAATCCTACAGCTAATATACTTCATGATAAAAGTGTGAATGTTTACCCCCATACACACCCTCACCCCCTGCAAGAACAGAACAAGGCAAGGAAATCTGCTCTCATCACTCTTATTAAAAATCATCCTGGAGGTTCTAGCCAGTGAAGTAAAGCAAGGAAAAAAATAAACAACATACAGATTGAAAAGAAACAAAAATTGTTTATATTTGCAGACAATATGATTATGCAGAAAATTACCAATAATTTACAAAAAAGCTACTAGAACTAATAAGTGAGTGTAGCAAGATTGCAGGATGTAAGTCAATATACAAAAATCAATCATATTTCTATATATTAGAAAACAATTAGAGGCCAGCCCCGTGGCTTGGTGGTTAAGTGCGCGCGCTCCGATGCTGGCGGCCCGGGTTCGGATCCCGGGCGCGCACCGAGGCACCACTTCTCCGTCCATCCTGAGGCTGAGTCCCACATACAGCAACTAGAAGGATGTGCAGCTATGACATACGACTATCTACTGGGGCTTTGGGGGAAAAAATAAATAAATAAAATCTTTAAAAAAAAAAAAAAAGAAAACAATTAGAAATTGTAATTTAAAAATAATACATTTATAATAGCACTCAAAAATATGAAGCACTTGAGTATGAATCTTAAAGATGTGAAAGATGTATATGAAAAACTACAAAACATTGATAAAGGAAATCAAGGATGACTTAATCAAATTAAGAGATATTCTATGTTCATGGAATCAATTGAAAAACTCAATATTTTTAAGATGTTTTCCCAAATTGCACTATAATTCTCCCCAAACTGTTCTACAGATTCAATGCAATTCCAAACAAAATCCTCATGGGATTTGTCTTTTTATAGAAATTGACAAGGTGATTCAAAAATTTATATGGAGAAGCAAAGAAAATAGAAGAGTCAAACCAAAAAACAAAGTAGGAGGTCGCACATGACCTGATTTCCAGATTTACTACAAAGCTACAGTAATCAATTCAGTGTGGTATTGGAGAAAGGGCATAGACAGAATAGAACAGAACAGAGTCCAAAAATTGGCCCACACATATATGGTCAAGTAAATTTTGCTAAAAATGCAAAAGCAATTCAATGGAGAAAGGATAATCTGTTCCACAAATGGTGCTGGAATAACTGGATATCCTTACGCAAAAAGAAAAAAAATCATTCTTGATCCGTATCTCACATCTGACACAAAAATTAACTCATAATGAATTAAAGACCTAAATGAAAAATGTAAAACTTATAGAAGAAAACATAGGAGGAAAGCTATGTAAGTTCTTCTGGTTTCTGGTCCAGCATTTAGGGAGCTTAGAAGTTGCCACTCCATCCTAACAACAAGTAAAAACCTGAATAAACTGAAAAATCAACAATTCTTCTAAGATCCATCAGAGAAATGAAGTCACTGCAAACCACTGCCCCCAAAATTCGAAAGACATAAAGGCAGAGAAATCACAACTTACCAGAGCAGAAAACTCCACGGGAACCAGTACAGGGATAGGAAAACCTGAACTGTAATTGACAAACTGCTGGAGGCTCAGTATGGACAACTCTGAAAATTAAAATCTCCAGAGGAACCCAGTTGCAGGGGGGTCCCCACACTCGTGAGTCTTACCAGATTCTCACATTGAATATCAACAATTTTTCTCTGACACTGTAAGGAGAGAGATGGAAAGTCTAAGGAAGAATCAAAAAGAAATTCTAGAGACCAAAAACACTGTGAAAGAAATGAAGGATGCTTTGATGGGCTCATTAGTAGACTGGACATGGGTGAGGAAACAAATCTCTGAGAGTCTCTGAAAGTAAGGATAGTCAATAGAAACTTGCAAAGGAAAAAAGGATGGAAAATAACAGAACAGAATATGTATCTAAGAACTGTGGAACAACTACAAAAGGTGTAACTTACATGTAATGTATGTAATGGGAATACCAGAAGAAAGAGAGAAGGAGGGGAGCAATATTTAAAGCAGTAATGCCTGAAAAATTCCCCAAATTAATATCAGACAACAAACCACAGATCCAGAAAACTCAGAGAACATACATCAGGAAAAATGCTCAGCAAAACTATACCTAGGCATATCATATTTAAACTTCAGAAAATCAAAGATCAAGAAAAAATCCTGAAAGAAGCTGGAGGAAACACCACCTTACCCACAGAAGAGCAAAGATGAGAATTATATCCAACTCCTCCTCAGAATATTTTAATACAATCTTAAAGATACGTTAAAGCAAGAATAGCATTCACAAGTGAAGATATAATCACGCTAGGTTCCGCACTGGTTAGATAATTTCTAGAGCAGGAGGCAGCAAACTGTGATCTGTGGGCAAAATTTGGGCTGGCCACCTGTTTTGTAAAAATAGTTTTTTTGGAACACAGTCATGCTCATCATTTACATATTGTCTATGGCTGTTTTCACACTACAATGGCAGAGTTAAGTAGTTTTGACAGACACTGAATGGCCCTCAAAATCTAAAATATTTATATCTAGCTCTTTACAGAAAAAGGTTGCTGACTCCTGCTCTCGAGTGTTAATCTCTACTATGAGGCATCAAACTTTAAAAGAAATACTAATAAAAAAAGAAGGGTAAACAGATAATGAAGGACATGGAAATAATACCATTTAAAGAATAGTTTATAGAATGGGGTATGATTAGCCTGAAAGAAAGATCTAGAGAAGAGAAGGTAATTTTTATGTATTTAGAGAACTATCCTACAGAAGAGGAATTAGACAAATTTGGGGCAGCTCCAAAAGAAATAACTGAGACCAACATGTAGAATTTTATAGGGAGCTGCTGGAAACCATGAGGTGTTTAAAAGGAATGGACTACTTTACAAAGTAGTGAACTTTTCATCAAGGTAACTATTTAAGCAAAAGTGGAAGTCCACTTGAAGAGAGAGTGTAAAAAGGAATTCATGCAATGAATAGGTGGCTGGACAAAAGAGAAATTAGAAAACACTGAGATGAAAGAAAATGCAGACACAAGATACCACAACTTACAGGATGCAGCTAAAGCAGTGCTTAGAGAACACAGAGCAATAAATGCCTACATCAAAAAAGAAGAAAGATCTCAAACCAGGAATCTCTGCTTCCACTTTAAGACACCGGAAAAAAAGAGCAAATTAAACCCAAAGCAAACAGAAGGAAGGAAATAAATATTAGAGCAGAAACTATTGAAATAGAGAATATAAAAATAATAGAGAAAATTAATGAAACCAAAAATTGACAAACTTTTAGCTAGATTGACCA